TGCTGCAGGAGCTCGGCACAGGAGCTGGTACTGCCTACTGCCACGCACAGCTTGTCTGGTGGGACCTGCGTGTCCCTGAAGGTTCAGGTGTTCTCTCTCTACGTGTGTCTTTGGGTGCCGCTGTCTCTCCGCTTTTAGCATTACTACATTACAGTTAGTTTACTTTCTCCATCCTTCCAGATTTTGAAAGGTAAATTCAATGTAGCCTGAGAAGTAATTGTTATGTAGTGCCTTTTCCTGGGATGTTTCTTGCAAGAGCCAGCCTTGCGGTTCTCAAATGTCAAGCTGATATTTAAAAAAAATAAAAGGCGTAGAAGTGTTGTGAATTTGATGGACGTCCCTGGTGAGGTTTGCAGGAGTGCATATATGAAGTGGTAACTGTCTCCAAAAGGCTGTGTTTATGGACACACCACATTTAGCTTCAGGAATCTCCCTTGCTTTGTTTGGATGAAATCATGTTTGGTTTTAGTTAAGAATTCAGGAGCTGAATTCAAGATCCTAATGGGAATGCACAAGGAAAGGCTAACAACATCTCAGAGAGAGGCTGGCCTGAACAAGCTGAAACAAATTTAGCAGATTTTACTTCTCCAGCATTAGCACCGCTTTGGTTTTAGAACTGTATCCTCTGCCAAGCACAGTTAATATTGCTGGGTGGTTTGATTTTGCACAAACTTCTTTACCTCTGTCCCTCCAGGTATCTTGATGGAGGGGTCTGGGTGCCATCTTTCGCAATATTGAATCTCAGCCTTCTCCTAATAAATTAAATGAATGCTTCTTAACTCTTCACCTTGATTCTCACTGTAGAAGCATTCCTAGTGTTTACAAAAAAGTTTCATTTAAATTAAAATTTAAATTATAAATGGAGAGAACCAGAAAAGTAGAGCTCAAATGCCAGAAGAAGTCTTCAGGATTCATTTCTTCTTTTCTCTTTTAATTGTCCCTTTCTTGGGTGGGGGAAAAAAAAAAGGAAAATGTTGCAGCAATTTTGCTTTGGTATATCCCATTGGGAACTTTTTGTTTGGGGACAAGGCAGCTCTAGTTGGGACCACAGATCACAAAGCTCATTTTTGACTATTCGAAACCTGCTAAGATGAAGTTAGTCTCCCCCAAAGTTGATATACACCACGCTAGAAACTTGGTGTGGGCAGAAAGCTGGATTCCTGAGCAGAAATATTTATAATTTAAAAAAAACTTTTAATATATGTCTGTCCCATTTAGGGTCTTAATATACCTCAATAACATGTTTTAATGTTGGATGTTTGACAGAAGCTTATTGCATCCTAGAGGCTTGGCCGAGCGAGCCGGCAGCGAGCTCCTCCGTCTGCTTTCACAAAACTCAACCTGGGCCATCCAACCCCCCCGATACTTTGCTACCAACTGACGCATCCTTTCGCTCTGCTGTGTTTTAGATACATTCCCAAACAAGGGCAAAAAAGCTTGTATAATGATAACAACAATAACTTTAGAGGGCACTTACATCCTGTGAAGCTGCAGCTACTATTTTGAAGACAAAGCCATATATTTCTTATAAACCACAGCAATTAACTCCACGTCTCTCCTTTCCTCCGAAAAACTTGAAACTAACAGCAAAACCCAATATTATAAGGCAAAAAACCCCAGCTGGGCTAAACTGTAGTTAGTCACTGGCTCTGGGTGTTTCCATGGGTGCTGGCAGTGAGGATGCTGTGCAAAATGACAGGAATAAAGTTGGTCTGGGTTCGGCGTAGAAAGAAATGTGGGAGAGGAACGTTAGCACTTGGACGTAGGCTTTCTCTTCGCAACAGACATTTCCCCTTTACATGTTGTAGTAACATTATACTTTAAAGATATTAGATGCTATTAGGTAGTTAGGTTGTGCCCTGACTGTGTGCAACCACTATGTTTTAAAGCCTAAAATAAAAAGCAAATTTTCTTCTCGAGCCCCGAGGATGGAAGATTGCTGCTGCCAGCAGAGGGACTCAGAAATACGACGGTAAGAGGCGAGCGTCGCCGAACCGGCCAAATTTCCCAGCAAAGCCGTCCGACTTTCTGCATCTGCCTTGAGGATTTCTCAGGTGTTGTGTGATCTGCTCCCATGGCTTGAGGGCTGGGCTCCGATATGAGGTTTATGCACTTTCTCCTCTCATCATGCTGATGGGGGAATCGATGATGAACTTGCGTCACCCTGCCTGTTCTCCTCGGTTAATGCAACCGGGCAGCAAGCCGTGCGTTTTATAGCACTCAAGGTACAAAATACTCATAAAAATCACCTCTTTTTCACTGGCTTCCCCGGTACTCAATCACACGCTAAGCACCACAAATGACTGCTAAAATAGGAGTTAAAAAGTTAATGATTTGCTCGCACTCATGATTAAATTGTAATGTCGGGCTTTTGAGCATTTATTGCAAATTTAGTTTAAAAAAGTGGGGAGAAAGATGGTAAAAAAAATGTGCGACTGAAGGTAAAGTCTGCAAAAATTTCCTAAGGTTCAAACGGATTCTCCTGCGTCTGGTGAAAACAAGCATTCTCACTTGTTCCACAAAGGACTGGCGTTTTCTCTTTTCAAGTGAAAGCGGAAAAATTGCCATTGCTGCAGCAGATACTACCTTAAATTAAAGGAAGGAAAGAGCACTCAGGATGAAACTGCATTTCTTTCACAAGTCTGGGTTGGGGGGGTTGTTGTTTGGGGTTTTTTTTTGTCATAAAAACCTAAACCCTAAGGGGTATTGGAAAAGATTTTCTAGTGATTAAACTATTTTCTTTCTTGTAAAGTGTGTATCGAGTTTTGCAGTGACAACCTCTGGCCCAACAAGAAAAATGCTGTTGCCTTTCTTAAAATTACCATTTCCCATTTTGCTGAAGAACTAGCTGTGTCACTAAACCTGCAGCAAAACTTCATTTGTAATAAAAAATAAAACCCATTAAGATCCACAGGATTACAATGATTTGGGTATGATAAATGATCCCAGGGTACACATAGTTTGCCTTCTTGGAATGTAGGAGAATAGCCAAAGTAAAATTGTTTTCCAGGAAATCCCCACATTTTGCTCAGTTACAGCCCGACCGACTTTCCTGTTGTTACTTCAGCCCTGGCCTGGGATGCTTCAGGTTCACATAAGTGACAAGATACGTAGAGCTTGCAAAGTCCCATCATCCAGTTACGGTTATGCGTCTACCTCAATTTTCATACACTTTTGTAGCCCCTGTGGTTGTGGAGACAAGATGTGTTTTTAATCTCATGATTTTGGGAGTCCTGACTCATCCTTTTTAGTGCTGAGGACAGGTGATACCTCTCCCCGCCGTAGGAAATAGCCCGAGCTGCTTCACAGCAGTTTTGCGTGGCCTGCACACCGGGAGATGTGCTTATGAACAGGGAGATCCCACCAAACCCAAACCAACACCCTCCCCAGAATAACTCTGGGTGAGCCGCAGGCAAAGCTACCCCTTAGGGGTAAGTTAAGGGTGGTGTCAGCCCCAGACAGGACTCAGTGCTACAGACAGGCAGCAGCGATCCCCTGCCAAAGGTAACTGCCACATTTATCTGGTCTTGTTGCTAGAGGAAGATCCATGAAGACTCTCTCCTCATTTCCAAAACATGAACACACCAAGAAGAGTCAAGGCTTGCCCGATTACAGATGTGAGGAACTCAGTTAAAACATCTGCTCTTGTGGGATATTTATGAAGTGGATCAAACCTTCTGACTTTCGGCAGTTTAACTGGTCCGACGGGATGGTAAGAGGGATGTTGTTTATGTAATTCATCTTTTAAATTGAGCTCTGATCCCCAGGAGTACGAGAGGCTCCCGAGGAGCCCTGCTTGCGGAGGTCTGCACCGTGTTGTGCTCCCTGCGCTGCGGCAGAACCGTCGTTCATTACGCACAGCAGCATCTTCTGATCGCTGGCCAGTTTTGCGTATTAAACAGGCTCTCCTCTGCCCAAACAACAGGCTTTGTGGGCATCACCAAATTTACCGGTTCTCTTGTTAGAGTAACCTCGTACGGGTTTATCAGAGCCTGATGGGAGAGAGGAGCAGCACATACTGGTTGAAAAACCCAATGAGTGACAAATATCCAATATTTCGCCTTTCATCTGGATGCTCCTCCATCAACCCTTTGATGTTTAATGCTCTGACGATGTGGCACAGAAAGCACATCCCCTACGCACCGTTCGTGACGCTGAGCAGAGGAGCAGAAGCCCTTCTGGGGACTGCTGAGACGTCTTGGGAAGTGTACCCAAAATCAAACCCTTCTGTTTGCTTATCCCCACATTAGGTTACGAGTGTAGATCTCATCTGCTCCGCATCTTCACGCCTTTTTTCCGAGGCATGACTCCTTTTCAGCTTCCCCTTAATAACTATCTTTTTAGACTGTTTGGCTTTAGATGTTTTAACCTGTTTTTTTTTTTTTAAAGCAGCAAGTGTATTCCCTAATACCCTTTTTGATACCTATATAGCTCTTCCATCATCTGCTTCCCCTTACATACCTGTTAATAGACACACACTGTGCCTCGCAACTATTTCATACATGGTCATCGTCCATCCTATAGCAGCCTTGTAATGCTGTGGTGGGTCAATGGCTTCCCAAGGACCTTCTCCTCAGGCCAAGTGATGGAAATCAAGACACATCAGCACTGTATCAGATCAGGATCCAAATCAGGGTAGGTTTTGCTTTCTAGAGCCATAAGGAAATACCATTACGCACTGTTACGCTCCCCGAGAGCAGGACGGCACAGCACACCTCGCGGATGACGCACGAACTCCAGCCTTCCCACACCGCCTTTTGAGTTAAGTTTTATCTTTGTTATTCTTATATGGGAGTGACTTCCAGCCTCAGAAATGGGCCGCAAAGGAAAAGTAACGATGACTTCAGAATTCATAATGAAAAAAATGAATTCGTTCCTGAAAAGTTGTTCCTAAAAACTGTCGAAGCCCGCTCTCCCTGCCAATTCCCACCACAAACTGGGTGTTGGTCCCCCTATTTCATATGGAAATGGGCACCATTAGGCCTATTTATACTGCCCAGCTTGGTCGTCTACACAATACAGGAACACGACAAAGTGGTCGAAGACAGTCCTGTGGTTACAAGTAATATGAGCAAGGTGAGTGACTTACTCCCCTCTCCCCGAAAAGCACCTCAACAACTGCATCGATGAGAAGAATGCCTGACTCCCAGCGCAAGAACGTGCTTCCCTGGGCTTCATCCATCATGTGCCCTGAAGGGTTTATTTTTCTGCTGTTAGTTGAGTGCATTAAATCCAGCGTGTTGCTGCGCTGTGTTCTCTGCTCCCAGTCCCTGGCTGCGGTGTCGGCACTTTGTGTCTCGGCTTTTGCACAAACGTACCCTAAGGTTCGGCGTGTGACACGAGAGGATCACCCAAGGACACAGGAGCCCAGTAACACTGCAGGGCTGGCGCGGGACTCCTCTCAAGCGGATGGGGGTCGGAATATGCCATAAGAAAGTGGAAATGACTGTTCCTTAAGCAACTGCCTGCTGTTTCAGAAGTCCCTGGGCATCGCTAGCTGCTGACAATAGTTTATGCAACTCATATCATGCTTTACTTATCCCCAGAGTCTGGCCCAGAACAAGAAAGAGGAATATTGAACGCAACTTCATCCCCACGTATATGAGCTCTTCAGAGAACAGCTGGGAACGGCAGCCTCTCCCCTGGTAAACAGACCCCCCCCGGAGCTGGGTGAAGAGACCATGCAAGGGGAAACCTGATGATGGTCCATTTTTTTCATCAGCATTTATTTTACAAACGGAGGTCTTACAATTGTTTAGATGCTTGCAGGCATCTCTAGTATCTGTGGTGAAGGTTTCCTACGAGACGCTAAGTGGGGAGAAAATGAGCAGAATACATTGAGGCAAAATGCTTTTGATCAAATGTCATGAAGAAATTTGTCCCTTTTACGATGAATCTCATGATACAGGATTCAGTCATTTTTCTTAGAGCCTCAGGTCTTTGAGCAACAGGATTATAAGACATTTTTCTTTCTTTCCAAGGTAAATTACCAGGTTTTCAAGCCCTGTTGACTGTTAAGAAAGGGACCAACTTTAAAAAAAAAAAAAAAATCAGTGGCAAATTCAAATCACCTTAGGTAGAAACCTTAAAAAATTACAAGTTTTTTTTAGGTAATCCTGTGGTTTCTGACAGCTTACCTTGTGGTTTTTGAATGTTTGCAGTTCGAAGTGCTGCTGCAATGGATTTTAAAATAGAGACTTTATGCTTGATGAAGCTGTAGTGCACTATAATGTAACAGGAGATAGGAAAAGGGGCTTAAAGGTCTCTTTACACACTCTAGAAACGGACAATGGTCATACATAGGGCAAACCCAAGGCTTGCAGCTCAATTAAAGCAATACCGGGACAATTTCAGACTTGTGCAGATCTGACCCAGCTGTAGCCTGAAGACAGCACTGAGAAACCACCCAGGAGAAACGGTGTGCAGAGCTGGAGTTGGGCAAAACTCAGCAAAGCGTGAGAAGAGTTTGTGGCAGAACTGAACGAAGTATCCACCTCATCTTCTGCACCCAAAACCCAGAAGGATTTGTCCTGGCCGGCTGCCGGCTCCCAGCAGGACACCCCTGACAGCCCTAAGCCAGATGGAAACTCGGACGCATCTCATAGTACTTGGGTTCACGCAACTTCTGGCCCCTAACTAGAGTGACCACCAGAAAGGAGTTTTTAGGACTTTTCAGGGCTAAGGGGTCCCAAAGCCCTACCTTGGCCAGATGCTCTGCCGGTCCTGGTGTCTCCAGAGCCGCTCCTCTTCCTCACTTGTCCTTCAGCGTGGCCATGCCCAGGGCCTCTGAGCTGTAGTCGTACTGGTTGCTGGAGGACATGGACCGTGCCCAGGAGCACTGCAGGTTGGAGCCCCTCTTGCGAAAGGAGGATGTGAACCTGTAGAAGTTGCGGTGCCTGTTGCGCAGGTACTCCCGGTAGTTTTTGGTGAGCAGGGTGTAGAGGAAGGGGTTGATGCAGCTGTTGCTGTAGGTCAGGCAGGTCACCAGGTAGTTAATGCACTTTTGGGTTTGGGTGGTGAGCTGCAGGGAGCTGCTGTAGAGTCGCACCAGCTGCCAGATCCAAAACGGCAGGAAGCAGGCCCAGAAGACCAGCACGATGCTGAAAATCATGATGAGGACCTTCTGCCGGGGGGATCTCTTGCTCTTCTCCTTGTGGGGGGGGTTCCTCTGGGACTCCAGGTAGGTCCTGGCCAGGCGCGTGTAGAGGAAGCCAATGATGATTCCCGGGGCCATGATGCTGGTGCTGAAGAGCACCGTCAGGTAGGTCCGGTAGGCGTCCACGCTCCAGGTGGGCGCACACATCCTCTTCACCTTGCCCTCTGCTTTGCCCCCCTCAGTCAGAGTGACCATCAGCATCATGTGGCGAACCGCCCCAAACACCCCCCGCCGTGACCTTCCGGTAGCCTCGTGACCGTTTCAGGGTATCCAGAGGCCGGGTGACGGCCAGGTAACGCTCGGTGCACATGAGGGTCAGGGTGAAGATGCTGGCGTGCATGGTGAGCAGGTCCAGGCTGAGCAGGATGCGGCACCCCAGGTCCCCGAAGTACCAGTCCTGGGCCAGGTAGGTGCAGACGATGAAGGGGATGGTGGAGAGGTAGAGCAGGTCGGCCAGGGCCAGGCTGACGATGGAGCTGTACATGGGGGCGGCGCAGCGCGCCGAGTGGCACATCACCACCAGCGTGTACACGTTCCCCGCCACCCCGGCCACGTACATCACCGA